GCTGCAGCGTCCAGGTCTGGTCCTGAGTCTGCCCCCTGCTCGTGTCGTCTCCTGTCTCACGAGACTCTCCTCTGGCACCACCGCCTTGGTCACCCCTCTCTGCTTTGTCTCAGAGGCATGGCCTCCCGTCTCCTTGTTTCTGGTCTTCCCCGATCCCTCCCTCCCCTTCCTCCGGGGCCTGGCCCTACCTGTGTCCCCTGTGTCGAGGGGCGGCAGCGGGCTGCCCCTTACTCCTCCCAGGTTCCTCCGACAGAGGCCCCGCTGCGGACGCTTCACATGGACGTGTGGGGCCCGGCCCGCGTCTGTGGACAGGGTCGCGAGCGCTACTTCCTGCTGGTGGTTGACGACTACTCGCGTTACACCACAGTCTTCCCCTTGCGTAGCAAGGGTGATGTCACTGAGGTGCTGATCGATTGGATCCGCGCAGCTCGTCTCCAGCTCAGGCAGAGCTTCGGCTCGGACTTTCCTGTTCTGCGTCTGCACTCTAACAGAGGCGGAGAGTTCTCCTCTGGCCTTCTGTGGGCCTACAGTCGTGCACGGGGCATCCGCCAGACCTTCACGCTTCCGGACTCTCCACAGCAAAATGGGATTGCTGAGCGCCGCATTGGCATTATCATGGACGTCGCTCGTACGTCCATGATGCATGCGGCTGCCCCCCATTTTCTGTGGTCGTTTGCAGTTCGGTACGCGGCGCATCAGATCAACCTTCACCACAGGGTCTCCAGTCCGGAGACCTCCCCAGCCTTGCTGTGGACGGGGAAGGTTAGCGATGCGTCTGCGTTCCGTGTCTGAAGATCTCGGGCGTTTGTCCGCGACTTGTCTCCGGACAAGCTGTCCCCTCGTGCTGCTCCTTGCGTCTTCCTTGGCTTCTCCCCTGACGCGCCCGGGTGGCAGTTCTACCACCCCACCTCTCGCCGTATTCTGTCCTCCCAGGACGTCACGTTTGACGAGTCGGTGCCCTACTACCGCCTCTTCCCCTACCGCACTCCGTCCCTTCCCCCGCCACCACTCTTCCTTGTGCCAGGTCCCCCCCCCCCGTAGATCCCCTCCCCCCTCAGGGTCCTGCCCCTTCAGGTGTGTCCCAGGTAGACGCAGTCGAGCCTATCGAGGCTACTGGTGACTCTGGTGCTGCTGAGGGTGCTGAGCCTGGGGGTGCTGACTCTGGGGGTGCTGCGCGTGTGGGTGCCACGCCTGGGGTTGCTGAGCCTTGGGGTGCTGAGCCTGGGGGTGTTACGCCTGGGGGTGCTGAGACTGGGGGTGCTGAGCCTGGGGGTGCTGAGCCTGGGGGTGCTACGCCTGGGGGTGCTGAGCCTGGGGGTGTTACGCCTGGGGGTGCTGCGCGTGGGAATGCTTCGTCTGGTGGTGCTGAGCATGGGGGTGTGGAGCCTGAGGGAGCTGGGCCTGTTCGCGTGGCGTCTGGGGGTGCCGTGCCTGGAGGTTCTCCGGGTGCTTCGTCTCGGCGGGAGCCACTCTCTCCACCGGAGCTGCAAGAGTGGTTTGCCCGTCGCTGGAGGCGTGCTGCTGGAGCTGGAAGTTCCTCGGCTACTGAGAGTGTTGGTGCCGCGGGTCCCGGAGGTGCTCGTACTGGGGGTACTAGAGCTGCTGGGCCTGCGGGTACGACTGGAGCTGGAGCTGCTGACGGTGTTGGCGCCGAGGCTACTGCTGTCGGTTCTCGAGGCGGTCCTGCTAAGGGTGCTACTGGTGCTGCTGGAGGTACTGGAGCTGGAGGTGTTGCTGGCGCTGGTGCTGCTGCCGCTGGGGGTGCTGGTGTTGTCCCTGCTGTGTCTGGAGTCGCCGCGCGGCCTCGGCCGTACTTCGTTCGGCTCCTTCAGCAGGTTCTTGGTCTCCCGCCTTCTAGTGGTCCTCCTCCTCCCTTCGAGTGTCCACAGCCTGTCCCGTCACATCTACAGTTACAGCCGGCCTCCCCACTGCCTGCTCCTTCTCCCTACACTGGTCGTCATTGGGCACGCAGACGCCTCTTGGGCTGACGACCTGGCTACGCAGCGGTCATCACAGGGTTACACCTTCAGCCTTGGTTCCGGCTATGTTTCGTGGCGGGCTACCCGCTCGTATTCTGTTCTCGGCTCCAGTTGTGAGGCTGAGATCTACGCCGGGGCCATAGCTGCACAGGAGCTTCGCTGGCTCACCTACCTGCTGACTGACCTCGGAGTGCCGCCTCGTTCTCCTCCAATGCTGTACGTCGACAACAAGGCCATGCTGGCCTTGTGTCGAGAGCAGAGACTGGAGCACAGAACGAAGCACATTGCTCTTCGCTACCTCTTTGCTCGTGAGCTACAGCAGCGTGGTCAGCTCCGTCTTGCGTACGTGGCCTCTGAGGCCAACACTGCTGATATCTTTACCAAGGCACTTGCGCCTTGTGATCATCAGCGCTTCTGTACTCAGCTTGGTCTTGTGCCTGCCTTGCCTCACTTGCTCACCTCTTGACCTTTCTTGTACTGTTACTTATATATACACCTGCTCTTGCTTGTCTAGTCTTCTATATAGATATATATGTACTCCTACATGTGAACTGGCCTTGTGGCCTTGAACTTGTGCTCGGAATGTGTGGTGACTTTGTGATCCACCCTGAGCTTGCTTTGCTTTGCTTTGTTTGACTGGTCTTGTGACCCCTTGTTCTCCCCCACTTTGCCTATGATGGTGTGTTAGAACATGTAGCTTATACATTTATGTAGGCTGCAGTGGGGTAGCCTTTAAGGGGTACAACCCAATTAGGGTTAGTACTTGTACCCAACTGTTTCATAGTTCATTCATTCTCATTCTAATTTCACATCTTCTGCGCTGGATTTTGAGCCCACACATGAGGATGGCCCTGTTCCGCAGCACTATGAGTGAGCAGGAGTCCCGAGCCTCATTTACTGTTTGGTTTGTTCTGTTTGTGGTTGGTAGTTGGTTGGTTGTGACCGCTTTTTTGTGCAGCCGAACAGGGCCGATGTCAACCCCATGCCACCCATCGCGTCGTACTCCCCTCCCTCAAGATTCAATGGTGTCGGAGTTTTTAGATCGTACTGAGGGTGCATTCCGCTGTGGACACTGTCTCAAAGAAAGTGTCCCAATCGTTTTTGTGACTAATTGTGACACTCCGAACAGAATGTTAGTGACTAATTGTGAAACGCCGGAAACAATGTTCGTGGCTAATCGTGATACATATTCGTCAATAATTGTGAATTTTTGAACCATAAACAGTGACGAGTTTGCCAGACGTCGTAACATGAGTGGTTGCAATCTTCTGTTCATCCTTTTCGGCGTATCACAATTAGTCACGATTTTGTTGTGTCACAATTAGTAACAAATACGATTGGGACACTTTCTTTGAGACAGTGTCCACAGCGGAATGCACCCTGAGATTGTTAGGGTGGGATTAACTGTTCCCTTTGAACAGTACTTTCCAACTCACACTTATCCTTATCTTCCTTGATTTCATTGTGCCACGTGGCGCTCTACTTTTCTTGCTTCTTCTTTCTCTTCTCACGAAGTACTTTCCATCATTCGATCTTGCATGCCATATTCACCTTGCTTGAATCAATGTATCTTCACATGCTTCTTCGCCTGTTTCTCTAATTCTTTTGTCAAAGTCCTCTAGCGCGTTTCTTGATATATGTCAAGGGCCCTAACAGTCACGATTTCTTCGCCAATTCATACCGCACTACCTTCAGACATGATACGAAGGGCGCTGTTTCCCTACTACGTTTTCATCTGTGAGTGGGCATGCATGCATTTGAAGTCAAACCCTGTGTTTTGGTTACCAAACCCTGTGATTGAGCGTCATGTGCAGTGGTCTCAATGGGAGCGGCGGCGTCTGCAGCGTTGCTCCAATCGTCAGCCCCGCCGTCTCTAGCGCCCCTAGGGGTCTCACGTCGAAGCCTGAAGCCTGTCGTGAAAGGAAAGGTTTTCCGTGAGTTTCCCAAGCACTTGTATTAGATAGTAGTTAGCTTGAGGTTACTACTAAAATAATAATACTAATATCTTCGTGCCCTTCAATTGTAGTTGTCCGTTCCATTAAACTTCTTCCCACGCGTAGCAACGGAAAAGTGGTGGGAGACCGAGGAGCATCTGCAAAGGTGTGGTGGAAGGGAATCAAGTAAGTTGATAGATGCATAATGACAGTCGTATGTGTCTTTCACCTTCAGTGCTGTGTTTTGACAGTCACATGCATAATTTAGCATGGCAAGTCCCGTTCATTGATGGTTCTCACTTCTTTCCCTTGTGTGGAGGGCAGGTCTCCAAAATTTGGTTTCGTAGCTGTGGCAAAGATACGCGTGAGTAATATCCGGTCGGGGGGGGCTTCTCCATATTTCCAGGAGCTTGATACATTAACATGTCTTGATAGCACATATGTCTCAGAAGAGGGAGTATGGACAAATATCACAACTCAGCAGGGTAGAAGGCGTAAACGCTATAGCTTTATATCGATGACGGCCGAACAGCGGGCTTCAAAGAAACAGGTCGAAGAATACGTTCTCATGCTATCCGCAAGAGATTATTTATCTTTTGCCGTGGCTCATCCACGTAACAACCATGCGCTCTGTAGACCGGCACCTAAACCCTAGGTCTCTGTCCTGTCTAACGTCGAGGCGCTCTTATTGTGCCGGAGCATCCTGCAAAAGAAACTAGTCACCTTTGTTGTCCGACCATTCCCGTCACCTCCCTCCCACATTTGTGCCAGAAACCTTGCAGCACATTCACTAATGCAGATCGCCCTCAGCCAAATCAGAGCAATGTGTGCAGCGTTGAGTAATTGCTACGGTTTAATACTCTTGTAACGAATCGCTAGAAGGTTATCTCCACATTTGCGCGGCCAGTAGATTGCATAAGATACATTCTACCGCTTCCCAGGTCATCACGAGAGGTAATACAATACGAACCAGATTAGTTCTCTCCAGACCTCGTAAATTTTACAATTGTCGCATTTGATTGTGTTACATCACCCAGTTCAAGGGACCAGCCAAGCCTCTGCGACCGACTGCAATTATCTTGCCGCGATGTGGCCCTGGCGCACAGCGTCTGATAGCCGGGCAGCTGGACAGATAGTTTTTCTGCCCGACGGCTTTCATCTCTCCCTCGCCGCCCGCCTCACCGTAGAGCAGGCCCTCAGGCGCGTGCTGCCTTACTGCCTCCGCGCAGCGACCACGTCACTAGCCTTCCCATCAACGTCAGCGGCTCCCGTGTCCACGTCAACATTATCTAGGTCCGCGCTGTCTTGCTCTGCAGCGTCCGAGCCTCTCGAGGTCGCCCTCTCGCTACGCACCGCAACTCCCGGCTTGTTTCACGGCCCCGCGAAGAAGAGCCTTCGCTTGTCGAAGCGGTTGTGTAAGGGATGGACGTACGTAGTCACCGCGGAGAGCGCTCTTAGCGAGGATGAAATCGATAAGGAGCGAATGATTCGATTCGACCGGCGCGCGTACTGGGAGGTGCTGGCGGCGGTGAAGGAGCGCGAAGCCGCCATGGCCGTGGCACGCGGTGGCGCGAGGCGGCGACAGGTGAGCGGGATGCAGGGAACGGGAAGGGCGTGGGTAGTATGGAAGAGAGGAGGGTGGGGAGCAGAACATTAGAAAGTGTGGCACGGTGATCGGGAGCGCGAGATGACGCGTGGAAAGCAATGGCGCAGGGAAGAGAGCTGATGATGCTAGCTGCTACTGCTTCACGCGGTATCACCTGTCTTTTCCCCCATCCCGCACGCCAGTCGCTGCCAGCTAGCGCAGTGACGCGCAGTCCTGCTCGATCCACACGCCGATTCGACGCGCGACTCACCACATCACACATGCCCTGCCTCTTCCCACCAGGTACCCGCATCTTCCGATCCAGGCATTCTCTGGCCCGATAGCCCCGACCGACGGAGCGATCACAGCCGTACGATGAGGCTTCGCTCGCACTTTCAGCTGGAGTCACCAGGATACTCAACCGAGGCATCTGTTAACGGGGATGCGAAGGGCTACGCTCTGGGCGAGTCAAAAGAGTCGCAGCAAGAGTCGCGAGATTCGAGCGACGGATCTGGTCGAGTCGAGAGGGGATCGGAGAGCCGCAGGAGGATGGGTGAGAGCGAAAGTAGCGAAAACCGCGAAAGTGACGAAAGTGGCGAACAAGGGGAATGCCGATGGGCGAATGAGGTGACAAGGAGGAGAAAGAGAGAGGAAGCGGACGAAGAGGCACACGCGACAGAGGAGGAGGTGAGTGAGAGAGACGAGGAATGGGAGGAGGTGGGTGGGGAGGGCGGGGACGAGCAGGGAGAGGAGGAATGTGACGCAGGAGAGGATAGCAAAGAATATGAGGAAGAGGAGGAGGCGTGGGGGGATGAGAAGGAGGATGAGGATGGGAGATGGGAAGAGGAGGAGAATTGGGCGGAAGGGGAGATGGAAGGGGATGATGTGGACAGGAGGGTTGAAGAGGGGTTAGAGGAAGGTGATGAGAAAGGGTCGAAGGAGCGGAAGGAGAAAGAATGGGAGGAAGAGGAGGAGGAAGAGGAGGAGGAAAGGGAGGAAGATGAGGAGGAAAGGGAGGAGGAGGATGAGGAAGCGTGGGAGGGAGAAGAAGAAGACGGGGATGGGGATGAAGAGCGAGCGTGCGGCGTAGAAGCAGAGGAGCGCGAGGCGGATGAGGGGGGGCGGGTGGCAGGCGGGGGAGCAGTTGACTCGTGGCGTGCAAGTGAGGGTGAGGCGGGGATCAACAGCGCGAGCACGCAGCAGCACGCCGCGGGGGCAGAGGTGCGAGTGGCGGCATGGGGGGAGGCCAGGGCGGTGGAGGAGGGGGAGAGGGCGGAGGGGACGAGCGGACGGGGAGAGGGCAGAACGGAGGAGTTACAGCGAGGGCTGGAGGGAAGTGGCGCTGTTGGCACAGCAGCAGCAGAGTCGTGGGAGGGCGCAGCAGGGGAGGGCGCAGCAGCGGGGGTCGCAGCATGGGGGGGTGCAGCAATTGGGGGCGCAGCAACGGGGGGCGCAGCAGCGGGGGCAGCGGGGGATGCAGCAGCGGGAGATGCAGTGGGGAGTGCAGCAGCGGGGGATGCAGCAGCGGGGACGTGGCGGCTGCGGGGAGTGCGGTGGAGCAAGCGGTGGCGCGCGCTGGGCAGAGAGGCGGGCGGGGAGGCGGGTGGGGAGGTGGCAGTGCGAGCGGCGTTGGAGGTGACGCGGGGTGGTGAGATGCTGGGAGAGATGCCGGGAGAGCAGGCAGCGGCCACGGGAGGGCAGGGAGGCGAGCAGCAGGCGCAGGAGGGTCAAGGTGGTGCTGCTGTGGGCGGCAGTGGGGTGGCGGGCAGCGACGGAGGCACGAAAGCAAATGTGGGTCGAATGTCCCTGGCCTTTGCGGCCCTGGGGTGGGGTGGTGGGCGCGGCGAGGAGGAGAAGGAGACGATGGTGCAGATGGGGAGTGGAGATGCAGGGAGGGATGTGGCGAGGGTGGCGCGCATGGACGTCAGTTTGGAGTCCACGAGTGCTGCCCTGCAGAGCGGCATGCAGTGGATCGAGGAAACCACTCGCCGCTCCCTGTGTGGGCCCACAGGCCTGTCTAAGCAGGGCGCTGAGAAGCAGCAGACGTGGCAGCAAAAGGAGAAGGAGACGCAGGGGAAAGAGGGGTTGCAGCAGCAGGAGGAGGAGGCGGGGCGGGGGAGTTCCTCAGAGCTCCCGAGGCAGCGCCAGTGGGGCAGCCACAGCAGCCACAGTCATGGCAGCAGCATCAGCGGCAGCAGCTGTGGCATGAGCAGCAGCAGCATGGCGAGCAATGGGTGCTGTGGGCGGCACAGCAGTGCTGGGGACAGCAGTGCAGCAGGCGGTTCCAGCAGCAGCAGTCCCAGCACCTGCAGGTGCAGGCGTGCCCCTCACACTCAACCCAACACGAGGATCATTGGCGGTATTGGTGGCGTTTACAGCGGCCCCCTCAGTGGCCCTCTCAGTGACGCTTGCAATGACCCTCGAAGTGGCCCTCACAGTGTCAGCGGCCGTCTCATTGGCCCTTGCAATGGCCCTCGCAGCCTGAGCGGACCTCTGGTGCAGGCGGGCAGCGGGCCACTGGGAGCTCGGCTCAGGAGCCCCTCAGGCAGGCTGCGCAGCGTGCTGCTGCGGCACTGGGGCAGCGGGCCCTTGACCCGCCAAGGCAACTGGCGCTACAACCGGCCAGGCAGCGGGCCTCTGAGCCACCAGGGCAGCGGCCCTTTGAGCCAGAGCAGCGGGTGCTACAACCATACAGGCAGCGGTATGGGCAGTGGGCCTTTGAGCCACCAGAGCAGTGGGCCATTGAGTCAGAGCAGCGGGTGCTACAGCGGGGCGGGCAGTGGGCCTCTGGGGGAGCTGTTCAGTGGCAGTCTGAGCCAGCCGTCCCACGAGGCGTTCTGCCTGGCAGCGCAGTGGGAAGAGAGGCCTCTAGACCCCTTGGACCTCTTGAGCCCTCTGGCAGGAGGCGGGAGCGAGGCTGGTGTGCTTGGCGCTTTCAATGGCGCATGGGGTGGGCTTAGACGAGGCGATGCGAGTGGCGGCTGGATGGAGGACGTGTTTGGGGGGCTGGTGGGCGAGCGGAGGGCGATGGGCTGGAGGCAGCCGCTGGTTGAAGTGAATTGTGCGGTGGGTTCAAGGGATGAGAGCAAGCACCAGCAGCAGCAGCAGCACTGTCGGAGTTACTCCCCTCTCCTTACTCACACGTCTCTTGCCCTTGCCTCTTCCCTGCCTTCTGTCCTCACCTTCTTCCCTTCCTTGTTATTCTGGCCTTTCCCCACCTTGTGCTGTCCCCACTCCTGTTCCCTTGTTCCCTTCTGCATTCTCAGCCACTACCAGAGATGTTCACTCTCCCACACGATGGCTGCCCACAGTGGCGTAGTCACCTAGCTAGAGTAGCCTTGTTGCGGTAACGTTATCCGCTATATGAGGCAAACAAGTCGAGAGAGCAAGATTGCTTTGCTCGGCTAGGCTACTTGTGCGTGGCTTCCCAGTCGCACAGTTCTCTGCGTGATGGGTTGGGCCCGAGCCGCCTGGGCCTTGGATTGGTCCTCACCACATTTCCTGTCTCCCAATGTCCCTGGAATTGCACCCGCAGCGCCCTGCAACCCCCAATGCTACCAACCCTTCGCTTCTCCCAACACCCAACTACCTCCCCTATAGGTTGAATAGCAATTGCTACAGCACTTCTACACCTCAATTAGCGTATGTCCAGAATATGATGCACTTACCATTATATTCGGTGACAGCACCCATCGATTGTTGTGGGAGACTCACAGAAGAGCTTGTCTCCTGGGAGTTGTATTGCTGGGATGGCAATGGGCGCTGGGTCAAGTGTGACAGGAAGGGCATCTTTCGGGTAGGGGGAAACTGCAGCGTCAAGCGCACATGGGGAGAACAGTTCAGAGATGTTTGAGTCTGCTACTAGCGAAGATGAGGAGTTCTTTGATGCACAGGCGAGGCGGATGTCCTGGGGGAGCGAAGGGATTGAATGGATGGAAGCGGTTGACGGGATGGCAGGAAGAGCGCTGGGGGGAAAGTGGGATGATGCAGCGATGGATTGGAGGAGCAGGAGGTGTGCAGCTGGGAAGGTGATGGGTTGAATGCTCGTCCTCAGCCGTATCATGCAAGCTCACAAGGGCTAGGTGTTGGGAGAGGGCTTGAGGGAGAACATCGATGAGCAGGGACATGCAATCGGAGGCGACGAGGAGAGGGTGGGGAGGTGTGAGGGGAAGACGGAGAAGCAAACGTGGGAGGAGATTTTGGATGCGACAGTGGCCATGGGACAGTGCGATGGGAAGGAGGAGCCGGCTGTTGAGGAGGCTCCAAACAACATGTTCCTGACGCTGCTGCAGGCTGGCAGTGAGGATCAGCACATGGAGGCCCGAGAGTGGGGCGTGGAGAGCATTGGCGTTGAGGACGGAGGAGATGTGAGAGAAGAGGAAGAGAGGACTGCAAGGAGTGGGCAACGAATGGGAACGGTGAGTGGTGAGCAGCAATTGGAAGCGGTGGATGGAGAGGAAGAGGGGAGAGATGATGAAGAGGAGAATTTTAATCATGAGGAACCAGGGGAGACGGGGGAGGGGAATAACGGGGGGGAGGAGGAGGAGGAGGAGGAGGAGGAGGAGGAGGAGGAGGAGGAGGAGGAGGAGGAGGAGGAGGAGGAGGAGGAGGAGGAGGAGGAGGAACAAGTGGAAGAAGAAGAGGAGGACCAAGTGGAAGAGGAAGAGGAGGGAGAAGAGGAGGAAGAAGAGGAGGAGGAAGAGGAAGAGGAGGAGGAGGAAGAGGAGGGGGAAGAGGAAGAGGAGGGGGAAGAGGAAGAGGAGGGGGAAGAGGAAGAGGAGGGGGAAGAAGAAGAGGAAGAAGAGGAAGAGGAAGAGAATGACGAGGAGGGAGAAGACGAAGCAGATGAGGAAGAAGATGAGGAGGAGGACGAGGAGGGAGAAGAGGAGGATGAGGAAGGGGAGGATGACAAGGGAGCAGGTGACGACCAGAGTACAAAGCTTGAAACTGCCAACGGCATGTCCTTGGTCCTGGAGCCGTCTTTAAGGAGTGAGTGGGATGAGAGTGAGGACGATGAGAGCCTGCAAGCACTCGAGGTAGCAGCCAGGTGTGCAGCTTATGAGGCAACCTTTAGGCTCAAGGTGCAGCAGGCACAGCATGATGCCAGTGATTGCAAATTCACCTCATTCGCGCCAGCTAGTGCAAGATCAGCAGGCGTGCTGGTGAAAGGGTGCTGTGATGAAGAAGGTGAGGGGGAAGAGGAGTCTGGCACTGGAAAGGGGGTTGAGCCAGGAAGGGGAGGTCGTCAGGAACTGTCGGATTCAGAGTCGGGCAAAAATACGAGCTCGGGTTCCTCATCTGATCAGAGTGAGGGACACACTTCAGAGGTTTCAGATCTCTCTGGAGAGCAGGCTGACACTGAAAGCACTGCAGATGAGGTGGAGGAGGACGAGCTGGAAATGGCGTTCTTGTTCCGCCAGTTGCGGCTGTTTCATGCAAGCCCAAGGCCAACACCGACCATGAAGCAGAGCCATTAGTCGATCTGGGAAAAGGATGAGCTGCCTTGGCGACCAGAGCTCCCAATGATAATGGAAGTGCCTGGACTTGAAGCCCTTTGCGTTGTTGCAGAGCAAAAGCAGCAGTGAGCTCTGCTCAGTGTTGGTAATCATACAAAATTGGAGATTCTTGGTTTGGTGCTTACGTTGCTAGTTCAACAGCTCATAATGTTACATATATTAGTATATCGTACATATTACAGAGTACCTTGCCCTCTTTCCACCCTTTTCACAGCCATAGCCTGCCTACATGATGATCTGTGGAGTATCAACATCTGCCTTGACCTCCTTGTGAGGCAAGACCTTTGCACCATTAATCAGCACCTCATCGTTCACAGTGACATCCTCTCCCAGGACGGAGTTCTTTTGAATGCGTGTCCACTTCCCAACTGTTGAGTTCCAGCCGATAATGCTGTTCAGAATCAGGCTACCCGAGCCAATTCTTGAACCTCCCAGGAGAACACTTCCATGGATCCTCACACCATCGTGGATAATGCAATTGGGTCCAATGACAACATCAGGGCCTGTCACAAGCGCAGGATCAGATACGAAGTTTCCTGCCACGTGGCTTTGAATCATCTTAGAATGGCGGTTTACTCACCAACAGAAGCACTCTTAGAGATGGTAGCAGTGGGATCCACGATCACATTCCCAACAATGTTGCTTCCAATGGCCAGCATCTCTGGATGCGAACTTCTCTTGTGATGCAAATACGTCTTGATCCCTTCCAGGTAGCCTTTGGGCTGCCCTACATCCATCCAGTAGCCCGTATGAACCATGGCATACAACTTCTTATCCATGGCAATTCTTGGAAAAATGTCCTGCACAAGTCAATGAAAGTCAGCCTCAAAATCGTTACACGAGGACACATGCGTAAGATGATAAGCACCTTTTCGATTGACATAGGACGCAGCTCAACCCTCTCAAGGACGGACGGGCTTAAAATGTAGATGCCTCCGTTGATGGTATCACCAACGAATGTCTTTGGCTTTTCCACAAAACGGCTGACGGCACCTGCATCGTCCATTATCACGACACCATATTTGCTGGGGTCCTCAACGCGAGTCACCATAAGCGTAGCTTCAGCACCACGGCTGATATGAAGGTCAAGCAATCCTGCATCGTAAGATGAGGACCCGTAAGACTACTGTCAAGATTGCAGAGTTTTATGGAAAGAGACCAGCATGGATGCCACCTTTGAATGGATAGTCGCAGATCACGTCGCTGTTGAGCATGAAGAATGGTTGAGGTGGAGAAGACGCAGTAGACTTTAGCAGAATACTCGTGGCTAAAGCCAGAGGCCCAGCCGTCCCTAGCGGCTCCTCTTCCCGAGAGCACGTAATGGTCATGCCTAACTCTTTTTCGTATGTCTCAAGAAACTGCTTAAATCCATGCGGCATGTAGCTCAACGCGAGGACTACTTCTTTGACGTTGCACTCCCGCAAAGCCTCGAGCTGTGAAGAATGTTAAAACATATATTACCACGATGAATCAGCGCCTTGGAAACATCAGGACAAATACCTGGTGAAGAAGAATTGGTTTTCCCGCGAATTCAACGAGTGGCTTAGGCTTGCTGCACGGACTTCGAGATTTCAGGTTTTTATTTATCGAGCATCCTGCATTTGCGTCGAGAATTGACAAGACATAATGAAACTCTACCTCAGCGTCAGGGGTCGCAGGCGTGTGCCATAGCCTCCGACAAGTATCAAAGCCTTGGGCTCCACGCGCATATCTGTACCAAGCATGAGTTAAGAAAGTGGAAGCAAACAAAGCATGCATGTAAAGAGCTGAATGCAACCTGAGGCCATATTTGACGCGGATTTCCTTGTTGCTGAGAAATTGTCTGGAACAAGTTGACGAGACGGGACGAGATAGTGAATGAGGACTGGGTACTGGGTAACCTCTTTTTTATGTGAGCTCGACCAGCTTCGCTCGCCCCAGCCGAGCACCTTTCTGCCGCGCTGCGACGAAGTGGTGATGCAACCTTGGGTTTGCTTGGGGTGGGCCCTATTTCCTTGGATGTACAGAACAACGCTAGAATTGTGTAGAAAAAGAGCGTATCATCTTCTAGTTGGAACAATTATTTATACATATGGATATGATAATAAACAATATATGGTCATGCATATATACAGTCTATTTACAGTTTCGATTTCCCTTTACACTATAGGATCATATTCATAAAATTCTTTAAGTTTTTCAGAAGAAACACCATCTTAGAACATACCAAACATTACCAAACCATATGTACAAGCATAGCTCAAGAATTTCGAGGGTTTGCATGAACTACAATATGTACAATGTAGAGTTTGAATTCAAGGCCCTAGGGCTTTCTGAAGTCTTGCATAGCTGCACGAGCTGTGGCAGCTACAGCAGCGACAGTTGCATGCGGTAGATAGAAATATTTTCCTGTTTGGCAGAAGAAAGGGGTCAACCAAGAATCAGCAGAAGTATGCGACACCTTCAAATCACCTTCAAGGCATCTCATTAGGAGGAGGCAAAGACGCTCACATTTAGGGGGCTTAGCTTGAAATGAGGTGCACTCTTTTCTCGGCCAGGCAGATGATTATCACTTGCCAAACGGGTTCGGTATATAAATGAAACCCGTGCGCGCAAGTACAGTAAAAGAGTTATCGCGATTTGTCCAACATAAATGGGCTAGTTGAATGCTTACCCTAGCTGTAGGAAAGCTCACCTTGCGAGTGTTTGGCGATCTCCTTGGCAAAGCCAGAAGAAACAAACTTGTTCTCGGTGTCGATCACCAGCAGCTGTATGCCCGCCGCCCCCATCTTGGCCGCTATGCTCAGCACCTCCTCCTGCCAGCCGCCAGGGGATGAGCAGAGAACGGGAAGCAGCAGACCAGGAAAGGGGTTCACATGGAAAAAAGGGAGAAGGTGGGGGGAAAGGTGTAAGGAATAAGAGCTGGGTTGGCAAGTTGTGAGTTTTCCTTGCATTCACCTTTTGGATAAGGAGAGGAGAGGAGAGGAGAGGAAGAGAGGAGGAGAAGAGAGGAGAGGAGAGGAAGGTAGAGGAGAGTAGAGTAGAGGGGCAGGGCAGGAGAGGCATAGGAGACAGAAGAAAAGAGAAGGGCAAGCAAGGGCACACCTTAATATCTTCCAGGCGAGGAGGAAGCTTCTCCTCCCCGCCTGCGCCCGTCGCACCCTCTCCGCCACCACCACTCACCTCCAGGGCCTCGAGTGACGTTGAGAGCGGCACGTTGGCGCGGCCGTCGGTGATGAGCACCGCCACCACCTGCCCCACGTCGCCGCGCCTCCTCGCCACCTCCGCCGCCCGCACCGCCACAACCATCGCATGCGCCAGCGGCGAGCCCCCGCCGCACGGTAAACTCTCCAGGCTGCACACACGGGCGAGCACGAGAGTCAATGCAAAGTGTTGATTGGCTGAGTTCCTGCATGGGAGGTGCTGCAGAGGGGGTGGAAAGTGGGCGAACGCAGGTAGCAGCAAGGGTGCACTGCACTGCATCTCTCCCTGCAGGCTCGCTGGGGTTCAACCCTACATGGCACTCACCGCTTGTGAGCGAGGGCGACGGCGCGGGAGGGCGGGACGAGCAGGTCGGCATGCTGGTCATGAAAGGGCACGACGGCGATGCTGTCCCGCTTGCTGTAGCTCTCCGCCAGCAGCTGCAGCGCTGCTCCCTTGGCCGCCCCCATGCGGTTCAACGCCATGCTGCCACTCGCATCCATTATGAACACCACCTGGGGGAGGGGAGGTGGGGAGAAGGGGGGAGACGGGGAGAAGGTTTGGGAGGTGAGTGTGTGTGTGTGGGGGGGTTTTCTTGGCCGCCCCCATGCGGTTCAGCCATGCTGCCACTCGCGTCCATTATGAACACCACCTGGAAGGGGGGGGCGGGTAGGGATGTGGGAGGTGAGCATGTGTGTGGGGGGGTTCTTGGTCGAGTGTGGTTCAGCAGCGCCTTTCTGCCACTCCCAACCACTATGAACACCACCCGGGGGGGGAGGGGAGGGGTGGGTTGGGTAGGTGCCATATGGTGCAGGTGGTATGCGGTTCAGCGCCTTTCTGCCACTCCCAACAACTATGAACACCACCTGGGAGGGGAGGGGGGAGGGGGGGAGGGCGTGGGGGGAATGATTGTGTTGGCATGTAGTGCAGGTGCCATGCGGTGCAGGTGCCATGCGGTGCAGGTGCCATGCGGTGCAGGTGCCATGTGGTGCAGGTGCCATGTGGTGCAGGTGCCATGCGGTGTGAAGGAGGAAAAGCGGAAGCATTGGTAGAATGGTACAGTTGCCACAGGAATGAATGGCCAAGGCAGTGAAGAGAAACGATGGTTCATGGTGGTGAGCACTGCTGAATGACAACCCAACGCTCAGCAGCGCCACGCGGTGAAACGAGCTTTGGCCCAACCACCTGAGCCCATCACTGGGGCACCATGCGCTGGATTGTGTGGGCGTGGTTGAATGACTGCCATGCACGACAGTGCATGACGGCTCTTCTGCACACCACACGCACGCGCCACACCCCCACAGCCCACCCATGCGCGCATGCAGCCTTCCCTGCGCCCACCAGAGACGACGCTCGCCGCGCCAGCAGTTTCCGCCGCAGGTCGCTCTTGTCCACATAGATGCGCCGCTCCCTGCCGCCCGTCCTCGCCGCCCTCTCTCGCCGCACCCGCTGCAGCGGTGCCGCTGCCCGCAGCGTGGCGTCCACTGCGAGACGCACCACCTGGCAGTGGTAGCGTGCAAGGCACGAGGGAGGGGGGGAACGGAAGGGGCGAGGTGATATCCCTTGAGGCACCTGAAGAGTCACAGTGTGGCGTCAACTGGTAGTGGTGGAAGAGGTAGTGGTGGAAGAGGTAGTGTGTGTGAGGGAAGAGGTGGTGACTGTTGGGGACGGGAACAGTATGTAGGCGATGAGAGGAGTTGGGAGGGAAGGGAACGTGATCTTGGAGGCAGCGCGGCACAGCAATGGCAGCGCGGCACAGCAATGGCAGCGCGACACAGCAATGGCAGCGCGCCACAGCAATGGCAGTGCGCCACAGCAATGGCAGCGCGGCACAGCAATGGCAGCGCGGCACAGCAATGGCAGCGCGCCACAGCAATGGCAGCGCGCCACAGCAATGGCAGCGCGCCACAGCAATGGCAGCGTGGCGGCCAGCAATGGCAGCGTGGCGGCCAGCTAGACACACTGCCTGGTGTGCTTGGAAGCGTGGTAGTGTGCAAGCCACGGGTGTGTGGGGAGGTGGGCGATGAGCAAGGGGGAGACAGTGTTGAGGGCGGTGGGTCGGCACACATATGTGAGCAGCAAGCACTGGTGCTTCAACCAAGGGAACCCACCTGGGGGCGAAATGCCTGTCCCAGAGTGCAGGTAAGAGGTACAAGGGGAGGACGGGGAGCAGGGCTGCAAGGGATGGGTTGCACCCAGAAGCAGCAGTGCTGCAGCAAGCACGACCATGGACGGCGCTCGCCCTCCCTTCATCACAGCTCCACCCGCCCCACTTACCAGAATTTCATATCAAAGCTGCAATGAATATGAACACCAACGAAGATTTCATCACTCTCCTTGCCTGGCACGAGCACGTGCCTTCAAAAATCGCCTTCTCGCAACCCACACCAATTCCACCTCCCTTTTCACTGAATCACCACGCCCTGCAGCACCCACCCACCAGCACCCCCCCAGCAGCACCCACCTTGCCCTTGGGCAGCACCCACCTTGCCCTTGGGCAGCAGTGCCTTCACGTATCGCCCGCGCTCCTCCGAGTAGATCTTATTCTTCGACCGCCCCGCCCGCCCCGCCGTGCGCGCCACCCGCTGGAACAGCTGCAGGGCGGCGGCATCGAGACGCGTGTCGTTTGCTGCCACCACGAAGGACGCTGGCACCAGCTGCTCCTCGTCCACCTCGGGCGGCTGGGCAGGAGCGAAGAGATGGGGGGAAATGCGAGGAGTGAGGGTATGAGAGGGTGTAGTGGTTTTGTGAAAAGTGTCGTCTGCTGCCACCATGAAGGACGCCGGCACCAGCTGATCCTCGTCCACTTGAGGCGGCTGGGGGCAATGAAGGGGGGAGAGGGGAAAGATGGGAGTGATGGAGGAGGCGGCGTCGAGACGCGTGTCGTCTGCTTCCACCACGAAGGACGCTGGTACTAGCTGATCCTCGTCCACTTGAGGCGGCTGGGCAAGTGAAAGGACGGGAGGAAATGCGAGGAGTCGACTCAAAAGTTCACTCAGGGCGGCTGTTGAGTCGACTCAAAAGTTCACTCGGGGCGGCTGTGGGAAGTGGGGGTTGAGGGAGGGAGGTAAAGGAGGGGGAACTAGAGGGGAGATGGACGAGAGGGAAGGGTAGGAGCGTGTCCTCTGCTGCCAGCAACTACAAAGAATGCTGGCACCGGGTGGTCCTCGCCCACTGGGGGTGGCTGGAAGAGGCGGAAGAGTGGAGAGGGGTGAGGAGAATGGTGTTGGGGCGAGAGGCCTCTGCTGCATCCGCTGGTCGTCATCCACTGGGGGCGGCTGTGGCACGAGGGGGAAAGGGGGGGAAGGGGGCAGGAGTGAGGGGAGGAGAGGGTTCATCGGTGCTGCGAGGCGTGTCCCCCTCTTCCATGGCAACTGACGCCCCCTCTGCTCATCCTCCTTCACTGCAGGGGCCTGGGGTTAAGTGGGGAGAAGGGGGTGGGGGAAAGAGAGGAGTAAAGGCAGGGGCCACTGAATGGTGCGGAGGGGAGAGGCCGCCGCTGCGGCCATGAAGGATGCTGGGGGAGGGGCTGGGCGGTGGGCGGGAGGGCGGGAGGGCAAAAGAGTGGGGGGAAGGAGGGGCTTTGCTGCCACTGGCTACTCGTCCGCAACGGTGGGTGACGGGCAGAGCGGAGAGGGCATAGCGGAGAGGGCATAGCGGAGAGGGCATAGCGGAGAGGGCATAGCGGGGGGTGAGTGGCGAGGTGGTGGTGACCTCATAGTAATGCTGTCCCTCGTGCTGTACACTCATTCCATGCTTTCCCACTCCTCCACCGACTCTCGCAGCATATCATGTCATGCACACGGTGCTACCTCACTCACCCCATGTATGCCACTCATGCCCCTGCCCTATCACACCCATCATTTCACGTGCTGCAGTCGTGCCATCGCAACACCAACACCCAGTCATTTCCCCTCCCACTCCACCCTCTTCCTTGCAACCCTAGCCCCTACTCTCCCCCCTCATCCCCAACCAACCCCCTACCTCTCACCGCACCCTGCAACTCGTCCTGTGGCTCCTCACTGCTCACCGCTGAGTAGGGGGAGAACGTCCCTTGTCCTGCTTGACACCTCCCCCCCCTTATTCACAACCTCCCTTCCCCCCTCTTTCCCTCTCCCCCCCCACTCCCAATCACCTCGCCCTCGGCTCCTCCTGCGGCTCCTTGCTGCTCTCCTCAGGTCGACGGCTGGGCAGGGACGGAGTGGGGCGTCCCTTACCCTGCTTGTCAACCCCCCATATTTACAACCCCCTATACTCCTCCTTCCTCCCCCCTACCCCACCCTCTGCCCCTGCTCACCTCGCCCTCTTGTTCCTCCTGCGGCTCCTCTTTGCTGTCCTCCGCCCGCCTGCTGGGAGGAGGGGGTGCTGCACGGGCGGACTGGGGGGGGCTGCTACTGGGCTCGCTGGCCAATGCCACCGTGGCACGTGGCACTATTGCCAGCTGGGCCTGCTCCATGAGAGAGGGGCGTTTCGGGACGGTAGGGGGAGGGAAGGGGTTATGGGAGGGAGGGCTGGTGGGGATGAGAAGGGATGGTGCAGGAGGAAGGGACAGGGAGTGAGGGTAGATGGCAGCACTCCAAGCACTCATGGTGTCAACCAGTACAGCCCCAACAGCCTCCTCACAGCTACCCCAAACGTGCCACCCCTTGGCATCCCAGTGGCCCCTGAGCGCTGTCCCTACTTGGTTTCACCTGCTGAAACCTGCCTGCTTGTACCAACAACCCAACTGCCATATAACTCCCCCACTGCAGCACCCCACTCCCCATCACCACTCCCCACCGCCCTCTCAACCCCCCTCACACTTAGCCCAAACGAGCCACCAGCTCCCACACCCCTCCCCTCTCCCCAACCACCCCCCCCCCCCCCCCCCCCCTCCCCCCCCACGTCCTCCCCCCTGGCTGGCAGCACGCACGGCGCGGACGAGGTCGGCCTGGGTGACCTGCGCTCGCCCGTTCAGCGCCGCCAGCGCCTTGGCTGCCCGCACCGCAAACAGCTCCGCTCGCTGCCCCTGCCACCACAAACAAGGAGGGGCGTGCGGGCGGAGGGCGGAGGGGGGTATGTGGGGGGTGGAAGGTGCGGTATGTGGTTGATGAGATGCAAGCAGCGTGGTGCCGCACACGGCAAGAGGATGCGGGGGCACTTTGGAGGAGGCACAGGGGGAGGATGGACGGAGGAGAAAGGTCAGGAGAGGGGGGAAGTAGGAGGAGGGAAGGAGGAAGGAGAAAACACGAGAGATAAATAAGAGGCTTGGAAAGAAAGCACATCCACTCCCCCATCTCAGAGCATGTCACCGCATCTCACCGCATCTCACTGCATCTCACTGCATCTCACCGCATCTCACCACATCTCACCTCGCACTCCAGCTGAACAGCAGCGTCCACCAGGAATGCAATCTGGGCCTGTGAGATGCTGACACGTGGCAGCAGCTGTCGTGCAAACAGCACCCGAAGCCTATCCGCTTCCACCCCCTCCTCCACACTCTCCTCCTCCTCCTCGCCCTCCTCTCCCTTCTCTTCCAACAACGTCTGCCCTTCAGGTCCCATATTTCCTCTCGCCCTTCCCCCAGCCGTCAGTCTGTCGTCCAAAAACGCGTTCGCCACCTCAGCTGCTGCCACCCGCTGCTCCAATGAGAGCGGCGCATCCGTGCTGACGTGTCAGGCACATGCAGGGACACATGTGTTTAACAAGCATGAAAGGAGGCAGGTTCACCCATGCAATCAGGTACATTGTCACATTCCCTGCCTTCCGTGCATTTTCCAGAGCAACACCGATGTGTGGAGGGACTTGGAAGCATTCAGCTGCAAGCCTCCTTTTGAGTCGACTCATTACACGCGGACTCATAACACGCGGACTCATTACACGCGGACTTATTACACGCGGACTCATTACACGCGGTTTCTACCTTGGAAGCATTCAGCTGCAAGCCTCTCCCTGCCCTCACACGCACTCAACTCACCCACTTCAGAATCACTGCCTCACCGCCTTCCACCCCCGCCCTCCCTCTCCCCCCCATACCCACCCTTTCCCCACCGCACCTGATGATGAGAGCAGAGCAATACACTCCATTATTCAAACCCCCGCCCCCACCACCGCACCTCACCATCACTGCCATGCGGTCCAGCAGGTGTCATTAGAGCGCCCCTTCCTGTGGGTAGCACAAACCGTCAGCCCCCACTCCTCGCATCCCTCCAACCTCACAATCACTGCACTAGTTACCCCCCAACTCCACCTGCGCCTAGATCAACGCACTACCCCCACCCCCCTTGGCGCCTAACAATGAGAGCGATGCGGTCCAGCAGATGCTGTCACAGCGCGCCCTGCCATTCACCCCACCCTCTCGCCTCGTTCCTCCCCTTCTCCCCACCCCCACCCCCACCCCACACGCCCACCACCGCACCTGACAATGAGTGCTATGCGGTCGAGCAGGTGGCGCCTGAGCGCGCCCTCCTGTGGGTTGAACGACGCCAGCAGCAGCGGCCGGCACGCGTGGCGCACGGACAGCCCCTCGCGCTCCACCGCACTGCACCCCTCTGCGAGCGCAGCGAACAGCAGAGCTGCCAGCGCGTCGTCCAGCAGATTGGCGTCGTCGATGTAGAGCACGCCGCGGTGGCACTCTGGGGGTATGGAGGGGATGGGATGCGGTGGGATGCAGTGGGATGGGGCGGAATGGGGCGGGATGGGGCGGGATGGGGCGAGATGGGGCGGGATGGGGCGGTATGGGCATGAACAGGGAGTGGTGGGGCGAACAGCAGCGCCGCCAGCGCGTCGTCCAGCAGATTGGCGTCGTCGATGTAGAGCACTCCGCGGTGGCACGGGAGGGCGATGCGATGCGGTGGTGGGGTGCGGTGGGGTGCAGGGGGGATGAATGGGCGGGGCATGGGAGGGAGTGCGGGCGTGGTGGAGCAGGTTGGCGTGGTGGATGTAGAGCATGCCGCGGTGGCACTCTGGGGGATGAGGGCGGGTTGGATGGGTAGGGGCTTGGGGGAATTGAAGGAATAGGAGGGGATGGGGCATTGCGGGAATGGGGGAATGGTGGGGGATGGAGAGGGGGAAGAACACGACCAATCCCAACGAGTCATCCAGCAGATCGGCATTCTATGGCATGGCATGGAATGGCATGGCATGGCATCGTGGGTGGAAGGATGCGGGCAGGCATGGGGGGTGGAAGGATGCGGGCAGGCATGGGGGTTGCGGTGAATGGGAGGTTGCAGTTGCAGCGGATGTGAGAGTGCCAAGCAGCAGGCAGCGGAGAGACACACTCCTGTCTCCATGCCACCACTCATGCTGCCACTCATGCCACCACTCATGCTGCCACTCATGCCACCACTCATGCCAACACTCATGCTGCCACGCCGCCCGTGGGCCCAGCTTCTTGTGCACTACTGCCAGCACCTTGCTTGCACACGGCACTGTTCCACAGTGCTTGCTTGCTTGCACTCAAGCAAAGCACTCAATCAAAGCACTCAAGCAAAGCACTCAAGCAAAGCACTCAGGCAAAGCACTCAAGCAAAGCACTCAAGCAAAGCACTCAAGCAAAGCATTCAAGCAAAGCACTCAAGCAAAGCACTCAAGCAAAGCACTCAAGCAAAGCACTCAAGCAAAGCACTTAATCAAAGCACTCAATCAAAGCACTCAAGAAAAGCACTCAAGCAAAGCACTCAGGCAAAGCACTCAAGCAAAGCACTAAAGCAAAGCACTCAAGCAAAGCACTCAAGCAAAGCACTCAAGCAAAGCACTCAAGCAAAGCACTCAAGCAAAGCACACAGGCAAAGCACTCAAGAAAAGCACTCAAGAAAAGCATTCAAGCAAAGCACTCAAGCAAAGCACTCAAGAAAAGCACTCAAGAAAAGCACTCAAGCAAAGCACTCAAGCGAAGCACTCAAGCGAAGCACTCAAGCAAAGCACTCAAGCAAAGCACTCAGGCAAAGCACTCAAGAAAAGCACTCAAGCAAAGCACTCAATCAAAGCACTCAAGCAAAGCACTCAAGCAAAGCACTCAATCAAAGCACTCAAGAAAAGCACTCAAGCAAAGCACTCAAGCAAAGCACTCAAGCAAAGCACTCAAGCAAAGCACTTAGGCAAAGCACCCAAGCAAAGCACTCAAGCAAAGCACTCAAGCAAAGCACTCAAGCAAAGCACTCAAGCAAAGCACTCAAGAAAAGCACTCAAGAAAAGCACTCAAGCAAAGCACTCAAGCGAAGCACTCAAGCGAAGCCCTCAAGCAAAGCACTCAAGCAAAGCACTCAGGCAAAGCACTCAAGCAAAGCACTCAAGAAAAGCACTCAAGAAAAGCACTCAAGCAAAGCACTCAATCAAAGCACTCAAGAAAAGCACTCAAGCAAAGCACTCAAGCAAAGCACTCAAGCAAAGCACTCAAGCAAATCACTCAAGAAAAGCACCCAAGCAAAGCACTCAAGCAAAGCACTCAAGCAAAAGCACTCAGGCAAAGCACTCAGGCAAAGCACTCAAGCAAAGCACTCAAGAAAAGCACTCAAGAAAAGCACTCAAGCAAAGCACTCAAGCAAAGCACTCAAGCAAAGCACTCAAGCAAAGCACTCAAGCAAAGCACTCAGGCAAAGCACTCAAGCAAAGCACTCAAGAAAAGCACTCAAGAAAAGCACTCAAGCAAAGCACTCAAGCAAAGCACTCAAGCAAAGCACTCAAGAAAAGCACTCAAGCAAAGCAATCAAGAAAAGCACTCAGGCAAAGCACTCAAGCAAAGCACTCTGGCAAAGCACTCAAGCAAAGCACTCAAGCAAAGCACTCAAGAAAAGCACTCATGCAAAGCACTCAAGCAAAACACTCAAGCAAAGCACTCAAGCAAAGCACTCAGGCAAAGCACTCAAGCAAAGCACTCAAGAAAAGCACTCAAGAAAAGCACTCAAGCAAAGCACTCAAGCAAAGCACTCAAGCAAAGCACTCAAGCAAAGCACTCAAGAAAAGCACTCAAGCAAAGCACTCAAGAAAAGCACTCAAGAAAAGCACTCAAGCAAAGCACTCAGGCAAAGCACTCAAGCAAAGCACTCAAGAAAACCACTCAAGAAAAGCACTCAAGCAAAGCACTCAAGCAAAGCACTCAAGCAAAGCACTCAATCAAAGCGCTCAATAAAAGCACTCAATAAAAGCACTCAAGCAAAGCACTCAAGCAAAGCAATCAAGCAAAGCACTCAAGCAAAGCACTCAAGAAAAGCACTCTAGCAAAGCACTCAAGCAAAGCACTCAAGCAAAGCACTCAAGCAAAGCACTCAAGAAAAGCACTCAAGCAAAGCACTCAAGCAAAGCACTCAAGAAAAGAACTCAAGAAAAGCACTCAGGCGACGCACTCAAGCAAAGCACTCAAGAAAAGCACTCAAGCAAAGCACTCAAGCAAAGCACTCAAGAAAAGCACTCAAGAAAAGCACTCACGCAAAGCACTCAAGCAAAGCACTCATGCAAAGCACTCAAGCAAAGCACTCAAGAAAAGCACTCAAGAAAAGCACTCAAGCAAAGCACTCAATCAAAGCACTCAAGCAAAGCACTCAAGCAAAGCACTCAATCAAAGCACTCAAGAAAAGCACTCAAGCAAAGCACTCAAGCAAAGCACTCAAGCAAAGCACTCAAGCAAATCACTCAAGCAAAGCACCCAAGCAAAGCACTCAAGCAAAGCACTCAAGCAAAAGCACTCAGGCAAAGCACTCAGGCAAAGCACTCAAGCAAAGCACTCAAGCAAAGCACTCAGGCAAAGCACTCAAGCAAAGCACTCAAGAAAAGCAATCAAGCAAAGCACTCAAGAAAAGCACTCAAGAAAAGCACTCAAGCAAAGCACTCAGGCAAAGCACTCAAGCAAAGCACTCAAGAAAAGCACTCAAGAAAAGCACTCAAGCAAAGCACTCAAGCAAAGCACTCAAGCAAAGCACTCAATCAAAGCACTCAATCAAAGCACTCAATAAAAGCAATCAAGCAAAGCACTCAAGAAAAGCACTCAAGAAAAGCACTCAAGCAAAGCACTCAGGCAAAGCACTCAAGCAAAGCACTCAAGAAAAGCACTCAAGAAAAGCACTCAAGCAAAGCACTCAAGCAAAGCACTCAAGCAAAGCACTCAATCAAAGCACTCAATCAAAGCACTCAATAAAAGCACTCAAGCAAAGCACTCAAGCAAAGCACTCAAGCAAAGCACTCAAGCAAAGCACTCAAGAAAAGCACTCAAGCAAAGCACTCAAGCAAAGCACTCAAGCAAAGCACTCAAGCAAAGCACTCAAGAAAAGCACTCAAGCAAAGCACTCAAGCAAAGCACTCAAGAAAAGCACTCAAGAAAAGCACTCAGGCAAAGCACTCAAGCAAAGCACTCAAGAAAAGCACTCAAGAAAAGCACTCAAGCAAAGCACTCAAGCAAAGCACTCAAGAAAAGCACTCAAGAAAAGCACTCACGCAAAGCACTCAAGCAAAGCACTCAAGCAAAGCACTCAAGCAAAGCACTCATGCAAAGCACTCAAGCAAAGCACTCAAGAAAAGCACTCAAGAAAAGCACTCAAGCAAAGCACTCAATCAAAGCACTCAAGCAAAGCACTCAAGCAAAGCACTCAAGCAAAGCACTCAAGAAAAGCACTCAAGAAAAGCACTCACGCAAAGCACTCAAGCAAAGCACTCAAGCAAAGCACTCAAGCAAAGCACTCATGCAAAGCACTCAAGCAAAGCACTCAAGAAAAGCACTCAAGAAAAGCACTCAAGCAAAGCACTCAATCAAAGCACTCAAGCAAAGCACTCAAGCAAAGCACTCAAGAAAAGCACTCAAGCAAAGCACTCAAGAAAAGCACTCAAGAAAAGCACTCAAGCAAAGCACTCAGGCAAAGCACTCAAGCAAAGCACTCAAGAAAAGCACTCAAGAAAAGCACTCAAGCAATGCACTCAAGCAAAGCACTCAAGCAAAGCACTCAATCAAAGCACTCAATTAAAGCACTCAATCAAGCAAAGCACTCAAGCAAAGCACTCAAGCAAAGCACTCAAGCAAAGCACTCAAGAAAAGCACTCAAGCAAAGCACTCAAGCAAAGCACTCAAGCAAAGCACTCAAGCAAAGCACTCAAGAAAAGCACTCAAGCAAAGCACTCAAGCAAAGCACTCAAGCAAAGCACTCAAGAAAAGCACTCACGCAAAACACTCAAGCAAAGCACTCAAGCAAAGCACTCAATCAAAGCACTCAAGAAAAGCACCCAGGCAAAGCACTCAAGCAAAGCACTCAATAAAAGCACTCAAGCAAAGCACTCAAGCAAAGCACTCAAGTAAAGCACTCAAGCAAAGCACTCAAGAAAAGCACTCAAGCAAAGCACTCAAGCAAAGCACTCAAGCAAAGCACTCAAGCAAAGCACTCAAGAAAAGCACTCAAGCAAAGCACTCAAGCAAAGCACTCAAGAAAAGCACTCAAGAAAAGCACTCAGGCAAAGCACTCAAGCAAAGCACTCAAGAAAAGCACTCAAGAAAAGCCCTCAAGCAAAGCACTCAAGCAAAGCACTCAAGAAAAGCACTCAAGAAAAGCACTCACGCAAAGCACTCAAGCAAAGCACTCAAGCAAAGCACTCAAGCAAAGCACTCATGCAAAGCACTCAAGCAAAGCACTCAAGAAAAGCACTCAAGAAAAGCACTCAAGCAAAGCACTCAATCAAAGCACTCAAGCAAAGCACTCAAGCAAAGCACTCAGTCAAAGCACTCAAGAAAAGCACTCAAGCAAAGCACTCAAGCAAAGCACTCAAGCAAAGCACTCAAGCAAATCACTCAAGCAAAGCACCCAAGCAAAGCACTCAAGCAAAGCACTCAAGCAAAAGCACTCAGGCAAAGCACTCAGGCAAAGCACTCAAGCAAAGCACTCAAGAAAAGCACTCAAGAAAAGCACTCACGAAAAGCACTCAGGCAAAGCACTCAAGCAAAGCACTCTGGCAAAGCACTCAAGCAAAGCACTCAAGCAAAGCACTCAAGAAAAGCACTCACGCAAAGCACTCAAGCAAAGCACTCAAGCAAAGCAGTCAAGCAAAGCACTCAGGCAAAGCACTCAAGCAAAGCACTCAAGAAAAGCACTCAGGAAAAGCACTCAAGCAAAGCACTAAAGCA